GCTCGTAGTCACGGTGAGCAGCTATGTGCAGCAGTACCCGAAGAGTGGTCATCTTTGGGATGGGAGAGAAGGTTTGAAAGTAGTCAAGTCCCTGCCGCTGACTGAAGCCACGAGCCACGTAACGCACCTTGAAGACAGGCGGAGAACCCGGCGGCCACTTCACCCTGAAAATCCACATGCCACTGACGATGTTCGCCCCAGGAGGGGGAACGGCGTCAACTTAGGTGCCTGTGGACTTCCAGGAAGCCATCTCTGCGTCCATAGTTGCCTGCCACTGAGAGGAGTAGGGACCCTCTATTGCCTCCGCATAAGAGCGCGGAGTCGGGATGTCAAGTGCATCCAGGTCTCCCTCAAGGGTAAGCAGTACGGACACGAGATGAGGTGAAGTAGCGGCCAAGCAGTGGAACTCCTCCTGCCTGTCCTCAAGGACGTCAGTGCCAAGGGCACACTCACCCCCGACGAACGGAGGACAAACAGACTGAGACTCAGCAGCAAGACTGGCAGCGTAGTCTAGACGACAGCGAGCAACAAAGTCGACGAGCTCAGCGACTAGGGCAGGCGCAGCAGAGGACTCAAAGGAAGGGTCAGTGACAACAGTAGCAAGGAGACGCGTGACAGTAGGACTGGCAGCACGAAGAGAGTCCGACTCCGGGTCGGCAAGAGCAGGAAGAGAAGACTCAGGAGGAGAAGGCAAAGGGGCACGCAGAGGAGCAGTGGACGGACGCAGAGACATCCGGTGCGTGCCAGGGACAGGAGGAGGACGCTGATGCGAACCACGACCACTAGGGCGAGCAGCACGGACAAGCGACGCAGGGCGAGACGCAGGCTCACGACGCTCAGCAAGACCTCCAGTAGGACCAGTGTAGGGAGACGGAGCAGGCAGTGGGGAGGCCGGCTGTAACCGTAACTGTGACAGGACAGGCTGTGGACACTCTAAGGGAGGAGGAGGACCAGTAGAAGGCGGGAGACCAAGAACCTGCTGAAGGAGCGGAACGAAGTACGGCCAAGGCCGCGCGGCGACTCTAGACACAGTAGGGACAGCACCAGTACCCTCACTGGCAGCACCAGCACCAGCAGCACCTCCAGCTCCAGTACCTCCAGCAGCTCCAGTACCTTCAGCAGTACCAGTATCACCCTTAGCAGGACCGCCTCCAGGACCGACAGCAGTAGCCTCCGCGCCAACACCCGAAGCAGCTCCCGCTCCAGAAGTACCCGAAGGCCCAGCAGCTCCAGTACTCCCAGTACAAGCACGTCCGGGACCCGCGGCACCAGCACTCTCAGCAGCAGCAGAACCTCCAGTACCCGCAGCACCTCCAGCTCCAGCAGCTCGCCTCCAGCGCCAGGCAAACCACTCACGCAGCTCCTGTGGAGAGAGTCGCTCCCGGCGAGACGAAGCACCCGGTTAACCGCCACGCTCAGCACCGCCAGACGCCCCACGAGCAGGCCCAGCTCCCTCAGGCTCAGCACCTCCAGGCGTAGCACCCCCAGGCTCAGCACCCCCAGGCTCAGCACCCCCAGGCGTAGCACCCCAAGTCGTAGTACCCTCAGGCTCAGCATCCCAAGGCGTAGCACCCACACGCTCAGTACCCCCAGAGTCAGCACCCCCAGAGTCAGCACCCCCAGGCTCAGCACCCTCAGCAGCACCAGAGTCACCAGCGACCTCGACAGGCTCGACAGCGTCTACCTGGGACACACTTGAAGGGGCAGGATCCTGAGGGGGGAGGGGGTCTACCGGCGGGGGACCTGGCACAAGGAAGAGCGCTGGCGGGGGGAGGGACGGAGTGCGGTAGGGGAAGAGACGGTAGTAGAGGACCGACTCGTCGAATGTGACGTCTTGGGAGGACAGAACCCGGCGAGAGGTGGGGTGGTAGAACTGCCACCCTGGCGCGTCAAGGGGGAAACCCAGGAAGACGCAAGGAGCAGCACGAGGGGACAGCTTGTCCGCAGACAAGTCGCGAACAAACGCCCGAGATCCCCAGACACGGAACGCAGACGCATCGCCAACCTTCCCCGTCCACAGCAAGGCTGGGGAGGTCTCCGGCATGGAGACCCTGGGGTGAAGGTTGATCTGATGAGCCGCGTACCGGACCGCAAACGGCCACAGAAAATGGGGGGCAGCCGCATGCATCATGGACGTACGGGCGACGTCCATGACCATGCCAATGCGGCGCTCAGCAATCCCATTTTGCTGTGGAGAGTCCGGAAGCGTGAAGGTCTGGCGGATGCCTCATGCACGAAAGTAGGCTCGCAGAAGGCCAGAGGAGAACTCTCCGCCTCTGTCAGAGTGCAGACGCAGAACAGGAAAGTCCGAGCCGAAACTCCGCCTGAGCTGGAGACGAGCTGCGCGGATCTAGTCGATCAACACCTCAGTGACATCACCCTTGCTGCGCAAGGGGAAGACTGTGGTGTAACGCGAGTAGTCGTCAACCACCAGCAGGAAGTAGCGCTCGTGACCCTGTCCACGGACGCGGGCCGGGCCCCACACGTGCATGTGAAGCGTCTGTAGCGGGGCCTTTGTCGGAGGAAACTGGGTGGAGTGAGGGGCAGCCCGCTGCCGCCCCTCGACACAGGGGACGCAGGTAGGGCCAGGCCCCGGAGGAAGGGGAGGGAGGGACCGGGGAAGACCAGAGACAGGGACACGGGAGGCCATGCTTCGGAGTCGAAGCAGGGAGGGGTGACCAAGGCGGTGGTGCCAGAGGGGAGTCTCGTGAGACAGGAGGCGACACGAGCAGGAGGCAGACTCAGGACCAGACCTGGACGCTGCAGCAAACACCTGACCCGATGCAGCTACCTGACCAGACGTAGTGACTGGACGAGACGCAGTGGTAAGTGTGTACAGGCTCGACCCCGGCCGACGAGTAAACGTGGCCAGGTGTCGGCCTGTCCGAGCGTCCGTGCAGTGGGTCACCTGCTGACTCGCAGGAGTGAACTGGTGAACCCCCGCATCCTGCAGGTCAGCACCACTCACCAAGTTCGTAGAGAACGAGGGGAGGTAAAGACCAGACAGGGTGCCAGAGGGGGCCGCCGGACACGGGAGGACAGTGGAGAACTGAGCAAGGACAGGGCCCCCAGAGGGGTCTGCCAGAGAGACTGCAACTGGCCGACCAAGCGGCGTAAGTGTGGTGCGGTCTCGAAAGAAGGAGCGAGAAGCCCCCGAGTCAAGTGTGAAGGTGTGGGAGGCCGAAGCCGACGCAGTACCAAAGAGCGCAGACTCACCAGCACCTGAGGAAGCAGACTCACTAGCACCTAGAGCAGCAGCCGCACCTGTACCTGGAGCAGGAGACTCACTAGCACCCAGAGCAGCAGCCTCACCAGCAGCTAGAGCAGGAGGCTCTATACCTGGGTCAGGCGGTACGCACAGGTGACCGGCACTGTCAGCACTAGTAGGTAATGCATACATGGCAGTGAGAATAGCATTATAGTCAAGAGCAAATATATCTACCCTCTGCCTAAGAAACTCCACCCAGCCAGGGAGCTCATCCTCGTCGCCAAACTCGGTACGCCAGGCGTCGCTCAGACGGGCGAAGCAGCGGAACTGTGTGTGACTAGGCGTCCCACAAGGCTGACCAGTCCGAGCACCAGTGCGAATCACGTAAGAGCAGCGAACAGAACTGAGAGACCCTCTACTCTGAGCGTACCACTCACGAAGCTGCTGGGGCGTGAGAGACGCGCGTGGGCGTCGTTGGAGCTGCTCTGGCTGCCGCCAGTAGTAGTAGCAGTAGTAGCGCCGCCACCCCTACAACCCCAACCAGCGTACCACTCACGCAGTTGCTGGGGCGTGAGGGACTTACGCGGACATCGCTGGGGCTGCATCTGGCTCCGCCAGTAGAAGCAGGAGCAGGAGTAGCAGCAGTAAGGCAGACAGCCAAGCAAGCGGCGGGCAGCGCGCTAGTAAGGCAGGGGCTCACCAGCGGTGGGAAGAGCAGGCTCGATGACTCGGCGACTCGGCGGTGCGGGCGGCTCGGGCGACTCGGCGGTGCGGGCGGCTCGGGCGGCTCGGCGGCACTGCGGCACGGCAGCAACTGCAGCTCGGCGGCTCGGGCGACTCGGGCGGCTCGGCGGCTCGGGCGACTCGGGTGGCTCGGCAGCTCGGCGGCTCGGGCGGCTCGGCGGTACGGCGGCTCGGCAGCAACTGCAGCTCGGCGACTCGGCGACCCGGCGGCTCGGGCGGCTGAGGTGGCGCTGCGGCTCGGGTGGCTCGTGCGGCTCGGCACTAGCTCGGCGGCGCCGGCGGCTCGGTGGTGACGGTGGGGCCGCTTGGGGACAGCGGCGGGGCCGGGTGGAGCGGCGACGGGGCCATTAGGGCGGCGGATCGGGGCCGCGAGGGCGGCCCGACGCGGCCACTAGGCCGGCGCGACGGGGTAGCGGGGCCGCGCGCCTTAGGGCGCGCGCCAGAAAGAAAATCGCCGCGCGCCAACGCCCTAAACCCTAAACCCTGAGATGAAAATAGGTCGCACGCCACGGGGCGTGTGACAGATCGAGTAGCAGCGGAAGCAGTAGTAGGGCCCTAGGAACAGTTCCCACGAGGGAACCTGCTCAATACCATGAGAAAACTGAAACGAGAATGAATGAACTATGAATGAGTTGGGTACAAGTACTAACCCTAATTGGGTTGTACCCCTTATGGGCTACCCCACTATAGCCTACACAATATGCATAAGCTATATGTTCTGACATACAGTGCGATGGGGGAGGCGGATGGCGAGTCGCAGCATGCAGCATGGCTGCGACTGGTGGAGCAGGCGATGGAGGGCGGTGAGCTGGACAGCGAGAAGTTCCTCGAGAAGATGCGGCGACGACTGGACAAGTGAGACTTCACAAGAAGGTCCCAGGTGGGACTGGACGTTATCGTTGAATACATTGTATGTTGCACAGTTTACATCTCACCATCCGGACCTTGCTCTGATGTGGTTTGAGTGTCATGCATATGATAGTGGAGTATACGGCTCACTTTGTGACCCCATTTGAAGCCAGTGAGCCAACCTACACCTTTCCATCCCATGCCTCGCAGCGTGGGAGTGTCGTTTCCCGAAGTGGAGGTGCGCTTCGAGGGGGTGAGCGCGTCTGCCAAGGTGCAAGTGGGGGCGAGGGGCCTACCCATGCTGCCCAACCTGCTGGCCAACCAAGCAATGGTGGTGCTGAGGGAGGTGCGACTACTCAAGGATCGGCGCCGCCTCTTCTTCGCTCTTCACGGCTGCTCTGGCATCCTCAAGCCCGGCAGGTGAACAGCCTGACGCGTACGTTCTTGCTTCTATGAATATGCAAGGTTCGGCATAGCCTGGTAATTCCGGCATCCCCAAACCTGGTAGGTATGGGGACTCCAAGCCTAGCAGGTAGGTGGCTTGACACTTGATCGTAACATGGTATTTTGCGCCTGCCATGGAATCATGTGACAATCCGAGGGCTGAGATAGTGTTGACAACTTTTCCGAACCCCTTAAAAGAAATATTCTTGATCTTCCTATTTCACAGGATGACGCTGCTGCTGGGGCCACCAGGCAGCGGCAAGTCAACGCTGCTGAAGATCCTGGCAGGGAAGGCGGAGAGAGAGCTGGGCGTGCAGGGCGAGGTCACGTACAACGGCCGCCCGGGGAGCCACTTCGTGCTGCCGCGCTCCGTGGTGTTTGTGCCTCAGATGGACTCCCACATCGGCGAGATGACCGTCCGGGAGACGCTCCAGTTCTGCGCTCGCCTTCAGGGGCCCGGCCACCGCGCAGGTAGTGCATTCTTTCTTTTCCCAAGTCATCCTGGGTGGGTACAGTACAGAGTGGCCATGGCCGGTTCCTTATGTGCGGTCCAATTAGTATGGATGCCAGTCCCTCCCTCCCTCCCTCCCTCCCTCCCTCCCTCCCTCCCTCCCTCCCTCCCTCCCTCCCTCCCTCCCTCCCTACCCCCCCCCCCTCCCTCCCTCCCTCCCTTCCTCCCCCCCTCCCTCCCTCATTCCCTCCCTCCCTCCCTCCCTCCCTCCCTCTTCCTCTCACCTTGGTGGTATTTTGCACCTTGATTACTGCTCCTTTCGCTCGCTGCTGATCACCCATTCTGCTTCTCACCTATTCCGCTCTTTTGCTGCCTCAAATCGTTGTGCTTGTCGTGCAGAACTATTTCGGCATGTGGAGGACAAAGAGAGGGAGGCCAGCAACAAGCCAGATGACGTCATGGAGGCCGTGATGAAGGTAGAGATGATGTCATCGGGTTGATCATGGCACTGTCACAGCCACTATGCTACGGATTGCATGTATTGCCTCGTTGTAACTTTCTCATAAATGCCCCACAGGGCATCACCACAGTAGCTCTCTGGGTCTTTGATTTGAGGGATGAGGATGATGTTGGAATCACAGTAAATGGGGTCATTGCAGTTGCAGGGATGTTATGGGTCCTTTTGGATCCCGGGGCCTTCTTTGTGTTTCCCAATCCAAAGCCTCAATCTACCCCCATATCTCTCTTTTGACCCACAACTCTCTTACCCCGTCACACTTCTCTCACCTCCCCGTCACGTCTCTTCTTCCCACCCCACACGTCTGTTCCCCTCTTTTCCTTGGGTATTGATGCATGCGCCATCATCAATGATACATGCAGGCGATGGCCGATGAGAGGCAGTGCTTAGATGTTGTGGTGCAGTACGTCCTCAAGGTGAGTGTGTATGTGTGTGTGAGTCTGTGTGTGAGAGAGAGAGAGAGTGTGTGTGTGTGTCTGTGTGTGCGTGTGTTGAAGTATCAGTTATCCCTTTGCCATGATCTCCTTTTCTTCCTGCGTTTCTTACTCATATTTCCTTTGCGAACCTCATCCCACCTCCCTCCCCCCTCATTCCCCACCTCACTCCCCCATCATGCCCCCCTTATTCCCCGCTCGCTCCTTCCTCACTCCCTCCCTCACCGCACGGCGCACTCGATTGTAGTGATGCTCAACACTATCAATTGCCCCTCTACTCCCCTATCCCCACCCTTTATTCCTCCCTATCCTCACCCCTCCACGCAGATGCTCGGCCTGGACGTGTGTGCTGATACCATGGTTGGGGACAGCATGAGGAGGGGAGTATCACGAGGGCAGACGAAGCGAGTGAGCATCGCTGAGGCACTCGTGGGAGCAAAGCAGGTCGTGTTGATGGATGAGATCTCCAATGGGCTTGACTCCGCCACCACTTACCACATCACCCGGTGCCTGCGCAACCCACTTCCCCTCTCTCTCCGAGATGTGGTAAGTGGTGGCTGGTGATGAGGCGTAATCTGTTCCTCTACATCGTGCAGACCATGCAGGTACAGCTCACGCATGTTGCACATGCCTGTTGCAGATAGTCAGTCACAGATGCTGCTGGTTACGGTGGTACAGATGCTGGTTGCAGTGGTGCAGATGCTGGTTACAGTGGTACAGAAGCTGGTTACAGTGGTGCAGATGCTGGTTACAGTGGTACAGATGCTGGTTACAGTGGTACAGATGCTGGTTACAGTGGTACAGATGCTGGTTACAATGGTACAGATGCTGGTTGCAATGGTACAGATGCTGGTTACATACGCATGTTACTGATGCCTGTTAGAAATGCATGGTGTAGACGCTTGTTACAACCTCCCCACCCCTCTCCTTTTCCTCAGTGTGCGCCATCACGCCTTGTCATTCTCTTTTTCCCCGGTCTTCTTCTCCGCACCTTCTCTTCCCCCTCACTCACCACAACCTTTTCCCTCACACACCTTCCCCCAACCCCCCACCAGATCCTCCCCATCGCTATAGTCACAATGTCTGTCTTCTGGCGCTCCCAGTTGTCCATCACCCTTCTGGACAGCAATTTCTATCTGGGAGCAATTTTCTTCGGTATGGTCACAATGCTGTCAAGCAGCATCATCGAGCTCACACTGCTCACGGCCCGCCTGCCCGTCTTCTTCCTCCAACGGGACAACCTTCTCTTCCCCGCCTGGGCTTGGTCTGTTCCCATGGCGCTGCTCTCTCTGCCCGTCTCCCTCTGGTCCGCTGGACGTCCATCACCTACTACGGCATCGGCTTCGCCCCCAAATTCTCCCGGTAAGTATAGGTAGGGTACCCGAATTCTCCGGGGAAGTTCTGCGTACCGATAAGTTGACCTGCAGGAGCCTTCCACATGACCGCTCCGCTCCTACTGAACACTAGGAGCCATCTTGTAGGCGTTAAAGCAGTTCCCCTCCCCTCCCTGCCCTGCCCACCTCTGTCGTCTCCCTTGCAGCTTCATCTCACAGCTGCTGCTCTTCTTCGTCACTCACATGGCTGGCCCTGCGGTCCACTGAGCCATGAGAACCAGTTTCCACGCTCCAGGTGCCTCCACTCTCCCGTAACGCCCCTCTCTCCCTCCCCCCCCCCCTCTCTCCCTATGCAGCTTCATCTCACAGCTGCTGCTCTTCTTTGTCACTCACATGGCCGGCTTTGCGTTCTACCGAGCCGTAGCGACGGTCTTGCGAAGCACGACAGTGATCAACACTCTTGGGAACTTCATCATCGTGCTGCTCTTCCTGCTCTCCGGCTTCATCGTCACCAAAGGTGCGTGCTTGTGCGGTGCGTGCTTGTGAGGTGCGTGTTTGTGAGGTGCGTGCTTGTGAGGTGTGTGCTTGTGAGGTGTGTGCCTGTGAGGTGTGTGCTTGTGAGGTGCGTGCTTGTGAGGTGTGTGCTTATGAGGTGCGTGCTTGCGAGGTGCGTGCTTGTGAGGTGCGTGCTTGTGAGGTGCATGCTTGTGAGGTGCGTGCTTGTGAGGTGTGTGCTTGTGAGGTGTGTGCTTGTGAGGTGTGTGCTTGTGAGGTGCGTGCTTGTGAGGTGCGTGCTTGTGAGGTGCGTGCGTGTGAGATATGTGCTTGTGAGGTGCGTGCTTGTGAGGTGCGTGCTTGTGAGGTGCGTGCTTGTGAGGTGCGTGCTTGTGAGGTGTGTGCTTGTGAGGTGTGTGCTTGTGAGGTGTGTGCTTATGAGGTGTGTGCTTGTGAGGTGTGTGCTTGTGAGGTGTATGCTTGTGAGGTGTGTGCTTGTGAGGTGTGTGCTTGTGAGGTGCGTGCTTGTGAGGTGCGTGCTTGTGAGGTGTGTGCTTGTGAGGTGCGTGCTTGTGAGGTGTGTGCCTGTGAGGTGTGTGCTTGTGAGGTATGTGCTTGTGAGGTGCGTGCTTGTGAGGTGCGTGCTTGTGCGGTGCGTGCTTGTGAGGTGTATGCTTGTGAGGTGTGTGCTTATGAGGTGTGTGCTTGTGAGGTGTGTGCCTGTGAGGTGTGTGCTTGTGAGGTATGTGCTTGTGAGGTGCGTGCTTGTGAGGTGCATGCTTGTGCGGTGCGTGCTTGTGAGGTGTGTGCTTGTGAGATGTGTGCTTGTGAGGTGTGTGCTTGTGAGGTGTGTGCTTGTGCGGTGCGTGCTTGTGAGGTGTGTGCTTGTGAAGTGCGTGCTTGTGAGGTGTGTGCTTGTGAGGTGTGTGCTTGTGAGGTGGGTGATTGTGAGGTGGGTGATTGTGAGGTGGGTGATTGTGAGGTGGGTGATTGTGACGTGTGTGATCATAAACTTCAAAGACCCACATGTGTCTATAGAGGGGAATAAAAGCCACGTGCTCATACTATGCCAGCAACAGGATCACATACGTCCACACACATACACATGCGTACCCATGCCCACACATGCTTACGCATGCTCACATATGCCCACACATGCTCACATATTTCCACACATGCTCACATATGCCCGTCCCACATCAGTCTCCACCCATCCACCCCAGCAGCCCACATCCATGGTGCGCGGTAGACATGAGCAGCCGGCCGGGGCCAGCCCCAGACCGGCCCGCGCGGGCGGTCGTTTTTGTCGGGCCGGCCCATCCCGGGCCGGCCTGGCCAGAAATCCGGCCCATGGCCGGCCCAACCTTGGCTCCTGGCTGCTCGCGTGACTGCTTAGGAAGTCGCGCGCGGTTCCTTAGTTGCTTGCGTGACTGCTTAAGATAGTTGCACTATACCTCTTGGATGCATCATGCAACTGCTGACGAGTTATCCCAAGTGTGCTCCAGGTAAAGGTTGGGGATGGGTTGTTGTGTTGTGGGTGAAACTAGAAAATGAGTTTCACCCGCAACCTACATCTGACCTGACACTCACGGGTGCGGCTCGCCGGCTCGGGCACCATGCGGGCCTGGTGCGGGCCGGAACGCGGGCCGGCCCCGTCGCGCGGCAGGCCACGGCTTGGGCCTAACCGACCGGCCCGGCGGGTTTCTGGAAAAGCCGGTTCGAACCACCCTAAGGTTGAGCTGGGCCTCATCCCATCCTCATCCAACCCTCATCCAACCCTCATCCAACCCTCATCCAACCCTCATGCTCACATCCTCCTTCACCTGTTCCGTGCCCTCCCCCTGCAGCTGACATCCATGGCGTGTGGGAGTGGGTGTATTGGATCTCGTCCCTCACCTTTTGCCAGAACGCCTTTTCTGCTAATGAGTTCCTCGCCCCCCGATGGGATGTGGTATGTGCTGTGCTGTGCCCTGGTACTGTATGGTATGTGTGGCGTGGTGGTGTGGTGTGGTGTGGTGTTGTGTGGTGTGGTGTGGGCGTAATGGATCTCCCTGGCTGGCCTTGGAGCACACGGACAACGCACATTTGGCGACTATCCGCATGAGGGATTTGCTGATGGCAATTGGGCGTGTGCGTGCCCCCCGATGATTGTCCAAGTGCTAAGAGTCCGGACGCAGTGAGCAGAGCCATCACGTCCCATGTTAGCGTCCCCGTGAGGGAGATGTCAGCGAGTGAGATGCAGCGAGTGCGATGCAGCGAGTAAGATGTGAGTTCGAAAATCAGAGATGGGAAAACGTCAGATAAAGGCGTGTTAGTTGCCGATGGCGCTTGTACTGCGCGTCTGAGGCTCTGCCTTAGCGATTCTGTCCTGGTCGTCTGGTGCGCTTCATGGGGTTGGGTGCCCTCTTCTTCTCTCACTCTCTGTCTCTCTCCACACCCTTCTCATCCCACCTCCCCTTTCTCCTGTTTTATCCCCTTTCCTTTCCTCAACCCCTTTCAACTCCTCCTCCCTCCTGTACTCCCTCCTCTCAACTCTCCTCCCTCATCTTCCTTCGTATCCCTCCTCACCCTTCTCCTACTTACCTCCATTCTCCTTCCCCCCTCCTCCCATGCCTCCGCCCCAGCTCTCCGATCCCCCCTCGCTGAACACAACACTGGGCCTGCAAGTGCTCACACCGCGCAGCCTGTGGACCGATGCCTACTGGGTGTGGGCGGGAGGGCTCGTTGGAATCGCCTTCACTCTCTTCTGCAATGTGGTTACCATCCTTGCATTTAAATACCTCAACCGTAAGCACCTTTTCTTTTTTTTTTTTAGACCGTTAGTCTTACCATGCCATGCCATAGATTTTGACCTCATCCATCCACCACGCTCTCACTCCTCTATGGCTCCCCTCCTCTCTCTCTCTTTCTCTCCCTCCTTTTCCTTTCCCTTCTCTTGCTCCACCTTCTTCCTCACTCTCCTTTTGCTCTCTCCCACTCATCTCCGTTTATCTCACTGCCCCAAATCCTTTTGCTAGAAAGACTCCACTTTTTTAAACCAATGGCTCTCCCTTTCTCTGACTCCCCTCGCCTTGCCTTCGCACCAACAGTTGGATGCTTTTATTTATCATGTCCGTCTCCCCTACCACCACTCCGTCTCCCCAACCACCACTCCGTCTCCCCTCGTTGTGCCCATTCCCCCACCCCTCCCTCTCCATCCACCCCTCCCTCTCCATCCACCCCTCCTTCTCCAACCAACCTGCCCCATGGCCCAGTCAGCTGTCCCCCACCATCTGCTGAACGCCAAAAAAAAAAAAAAAAAAAAAAAAAAAATCTAGCTATGTGCTCTTGATTTATCCTCTTCCACCCCCATTCCTCCTCCCCTTTCACCCCCTCCCCTCCCCCTCGCCTTCCCCCACCCATCTTGGCCCAGGGCCCAGCCAGTGATCTCCCAGCATCAGCTAGACGCTCGAGAGATAGCTCTAGGCGGCACCAACCTGGAATGTTCCTCACGCTCCTCCTCCCTGCGCCCCCTCACGCTCTCCCGCACCGGCTCCACTGCCATTGCCCGCTTCCTCGCCACCGACTGCTTCCACTCCCCCAAGAGCCTCGCCAGACCTTCCCTTTCTGCCCGCTCGCTCACAAGCCTTCCTTCGGGCAGCACGAAGGTTCATCTGCGAGTGATGTCAGAAGGAGGTCAAGGGGAAGCGGGAGGGGGAGAGCTGGGAAGGGATGCTGCTGAGAGTACAGGTATCACTGCAATTAGCACCACATGAGCCAGGGGTAATAATCAGCGGCAAAGGAAAGTAATCTCCTTCTTGAGTGATGGGGATGCTGCAGGTGATGGTACAGGGATCACTGCTGCTAGGGGCACAGGGGGCGGAGAGGAAGTAGAGAAGGAGAGGAATTCTCTGACAAGAAACGAGAGCCTGGAAAGAGATGATGAGTTACATTCAGTTGCATCATCGGGCACAGTACCTGAACTCGCTTTTGATCCTCATGCTCATCCGAAGCACCTTGATGATAATGATCGTGAAGTGGCCACCGGACCCTCTGATGGGGGGGAACTCAGCGAGCATGGCATGTCCTCCCCTTTGATCCGCTCACTCTCTCCTTCCACAACGTAAACTACTATGTCGACATGCCCGCTGAGCTAAAGGACAAGGCCGCGCGGCCCGGCCAGCGGCTGCAACTGTTGCGTAACGTGTCCGGCGTGTTTCGTCCCGGAGTGCTGACCGCCTTGATGGGGGTGTCTGGGGCAGGAAAGACCACGCTAATGGACGTGCTGGCAGGGAGGAAGACCGGGGGTCACATCGAAGGGGATGTCCGAGTTTCCGGTTACCCGAAAGTGCAGGAGACGTTTCTGAGGGTGTCGGGGTATTGTGAGCAGGTGGACATTCACACGCCCCAGGTGACCGTGCACGAGTCTCTGCTCTACTCCGCCTGGCTAGGCTTGCCCGAGGAGATCGATAGAGATGTCATCCTGGTTAGTGCAAGGGTGGACTGGGAGATGCAATCCTGGTGAGTGGCGGGGTGAGTCGCGACATGTGATAATGGTGAATTGGGAGATGTGATAAGGGTGAATGGGGATATGTGAGAATGGTGAATGGAGATGTGAGAATGGTGAATGGAGATATGTGAGAATGGTGAATGGGGATATGTGAGAATGGTGAATGGAAATATGTGAGTATGGTAAATGGAAATATGTGCTAATGTTGAATGGAAATATGTGGTAATGGTGAGAAGAGAGATGTGAGAATAGTGAATGGAGGGGTGTGTTGATGAAGTAGGTGAGAGGGGTGATGGAGCTGGTGGAGATGCAGGCAGTGAAACCGGTGCTCTGGGGGAGTCCGTGCTCACGTCTCTCCCCTCATCCTCTCGAGCATTCCCACCCCCACTATCCTCTCCCCTCACCCCTTCAAGCACACTATCCACCCCTTCAAGCACACTCATCCAACAAAAGTTCCCTCTCTTATCTCCGCACTCCTCTCTTCCCTCTCTCATCTCCTTATTCCTCTCTTCCCTCTCTCATCTCCGCACTCCTCTCTTCTCTCTCATCCCCGCACTCCTCTCTTCCCTCTCTCATCTCCGCACTCCTCTCTTCCCTCTCTCATCTCCGCACTCCTCTCTTCCCTCTCCATCTCCGCACTCCTCTCTTCCCTCTCCATCTCCGCACTCCTCTCTTCCCTCTCCATCACCGCACTCCTCTCTTCCCTCTCTCATCTCTGCACTCCTCTCTTCCCTCTCTCATCTCCGCACTCCTCTCTTCCCTCTCTCATCTCTGCACTCCTCTCTTCCCTCTCTCCTATCCTCACTCCTCTCTTCCCTCTCTCATCTCCGCACTCCTCTCTTCCCTCTCTCATCTCCGCACTCCTCTCTTCCCTCTCCATCTCCGCACTCCTCTCTTCCCTCTCTCATCTACGCACTCCTCTCTTCCCTCTCCATCTCCGTACTCCTCTCTTCCCTCTCCATCTCCCATGTCCCATCTCCCATCTCCCATCTCAATCCCCTCTCCGTACGCCCCATGAAATTCGAGGAGGGGGTGATGGAGCTGGTGGAGCAAGCACCGTTAACACCCTGACAGCCCGTTCTGCACGTGAAGATGGGACGGGCTGTCAGCAACCCCCCATCCGCACTCCCCTGTTTGCAATATCCCCCAAGAATTTGTGGAGGTGGAGGAGCTGGTGGAGTTAGAGCCGGTAGAAGGGGGCGCTGGCGGGAGTCTGTGCTCATGCCTCGCTCCCCCCTCCCCTCTGCCCTCTCCTCTCCAGGAATTCGTGGAAGAGGTGGAGGACCTGGTGGAGCTAGAGCCGGTAAAGGGAGCTCTGGTGGGGAGGGCGGGGCAGGTCGGGCTGTCAGTGGAGCAGAGGAAGCGGCTGACCATCGCAGTGAAGCTCGTAGCCAACCCCGCCATCATCTTCATGGATGAACCCACCTCAGGTACCACCTCCCCCTCAGGTACCACCTCCCCCTCAGGTACCACCTCCACCTCCAGTAACACCCCCCCCCCCCTCAGGTAAAGTCCTCTTGCAGGAGGACCTGGTCTATGTATGAATTATATGTCCCTTACGTAAAGATAAATAGAGGCTCCCTTCTCACCTTTTCCCGTGGCCAGCCATTGCTTGGCACCCCAGGTCAGGTAAAACCCACCCCTCAGGTCAGGTAGTATTTGCTCCTTAGGTCACCTTTCTCTCTTCTCCCTCCTCGCATCCTCAGCAGGGCTGGACTCAAGGGTAGCGGCCAAAGTGATGAGGGCGGTGCGCAACAAAGCCAAAACTGGCCACGCATTGTTTCTCCCTCTTTCCCCCTCATGCTCCTCTCCCTCCATCTCCTCACATCCTCGTCCCTTCTCAGGCCTGGATGCGAGGGCAGCGGCCATAGTGATGAGGGCGGTGCGCAACACTGTGAACACGGGCCGCACAGTCGTGTGCACCATCCACCATCCACCAGCCATCAATCGATATCTTCGAGGCCTTTGACGAGGTAACAGGCAGATATGATGTGCACTCCTTCGAGATTACACTGAGGTGGCATTCGCCATATTGTGTGTGATACTTGGCATGGGGCCGCACAGCACAGTGGTGTGCGTGCACCGTGCACCAGCCGTTGATCGACATCTTTGAGGCATTTGACAAGGTAACAGGTACACACAATATGCACTTGTATAACTATTCACTAAGACGGCAAACACCATATTGTGTGCGATACATCGCATGGGGTCGCACAGGGGTGTGCAGTGCACCATCCACCAGCGGTCCATCCACATGCTTGATGCATTTGACGAGATGGGCTTTATATGACATGTAACTTGATTGGTGTACACGAAAATGCATACACCAGATTGTGCTTAATAAAGTTGGGCATGGGTCGAGTCGTATGCCTGTTAACATTGTTTAAGCGTTTGGCAGGGTATTATGCATAGAAACTGTGCGTGATGCAACGAATGTACATTGTAAGTGATGGACACTTAAAGTACAATGCCATCTATACCGCTACACAGTGATATGCACCCCTCACCACCGCGCCTCCTGTAATAGCCTCACCCTTCTCCTCGCATACCCTTCCCTCTTCTCTCCCGCTCGCCTCTCCCATTCCATAATCGCCCCTCTCCTCCCATACTTGCCTCTCATGCTCCACCACCCCTCTCCTGCCTGTCTCACGGTTGAGCCCTGCAGCTGCTGTTGATGCAGAGGGGAGGAGAGGTCATCTACACGGGGTCACTGGGGAAGCAATCATGCGACCTCGTTTGCTACTTCAAGGTAAGGCAAACAGTGCTACTTCAAGGTAAGGCACACAGTGCTACCTCAAACCATTGTCACAGGACTGGAGTTGTAATTCAAACCTTTTCACTCACACCTGTCTTATCTTAAAACACTGTCCCAAAACCATTTCGCTAAGACCATGCTGTCGCATACAACCTTGTAAAACCACTGTCTTGGGGTACGTTCTTGGCTGGTGTCTAGCTTCAGGCCAAGCTGGTTGACACGAGGTGAAATTGACGGGCATGAGGGATATTTTTAGATTTGTGTCAGACGTTCCTGGAGGGGTCTGACACCAGGCAGGCAAACTTGGCCTGAAGCTAGACACCAGCCAAGAACGTACCCTTAAACCCAGGGTGCAAAAACGCAGCTGTTGGTTTTGAAAATTTACCATAAAATCCGGTATCATATAAAATTGTATCGTATAAAGGGTATAGAGCCGCTTCTGACGGTACCAGACTTTTCCTCATCCCTCCCACCATGTCCATTCCCCTTCCTGCAGCCCATCCTGACAGTACCATCTATCCAGCCTCACAGCACCCATACACCCATCCAATGCAGCACAGCACCCTCCCCAACCTCCTTCTACCATTCTATTTTGTGGTGCCCATTCAGCCCAGAGTCGAGCCCGCAGAGTGCCATACCCTTCCTTTTCTTATTATCCCGCTCCATTCCGCTAACTGCCCCATCCACCATTCGTTCTCCACCCACCCATGCATGCCTCCGGTCCAAACCAAACCATCTCAACCGTGACGTGCGCCCATCCAGCCAAGGACCAACGCTGCACTGAGTGACTACTCAAGCTCGTTGTTTCCTCCCTCACCCTTCCTCCCCGTTTCCGCTACCAATCCCCATTCCCCCCTCCAGTCCATCCCAGGGGTGCCGCCCATCCAGCCCGGGGCCAACCCAGCAGCGTGGATGCTCGAGGTCATGGCGTCAGCATCAGCAGAGCGACTCAGAGTCGACTTTGCTCACCTGTTCCTCCAGTCCGACCAGTTCAGGTGAGAACAGCAGAACCTTGGGCGTGGACAGCAGTGCCTCAGGCGAGAACAGCAGAACCTCGGGTGTGGACAGAAGAGCCTCAGGTGAGGACGTCAGAGCCTCAGGTGAGGACAGCAGAGCCTCATGGGGGAAGATTAATTTCAGGTGAGAAAAGCAGGGGCAGAGAACGGCAGTGGTTCAGAGCCTTTCAAGTCAGGTCATGTAAGCTTCCCAACAAGCTCAACCTCTTCTTTCTATCACATCATTCCACAACGCCCTTTTCCCAACTCCTCCGGCTTACCCCTCTTTTCTCCCTTACCCTGTACTCTCCCTTGCCTTCTCTCCCTTACCCTTCTCTCTCCCTTACCCTCTTCTCTCCCTTACCCTCTTCTCTCCCTTGCCCTCTTCTCTCCCTTGCTCTCTTTCCTCCTTGCCGTCTTCTCTTTCTTACCCTCTTCTCTCCCTTGCCCTCTTCTCTCCCTTGCCCTCTTCTCTCCCCGCCCTCTTCTCTCCCTTGCCCTCTTCTCACCCTTGCCCCATTCTGTCCCTCGTCTTCTACTTTCCCTTGCCCCTTCTCTGTGTTTACTCCTACTCTCTCTTATCCCTCTCACCCTCAAGTCCATAGAAGCTCTAATTCACGAATCCAGCATGTCCCACGAAGGGGAACCGGATCTTCACTTTCCAACTCACTACCCGACAACGCTGCTCTCGAAGTTCGCCACCCATGTGTGGAAGCGGCACCGCATGTACTGGCGCATGCCCGACTACAACGGCGAGCGCCTCTTCTTCTCCTTTGTCATGAGCCTCCTCATTGGCGGCGTCTTCTTTGGCTCGGGAAAATTCACGGGAGACGCCGCAGCAGATTGTGAGCGTCATGGGGGCACTCTACACTGCAGCTCTCTTCCTCGGGTGGAGCAATCTTGCAGCCATCCAGCCGATGCTTGCGGTGGAAAGGAGTATTTATTACCGAGAGCGCGGTGCCGGGATGTACAGTGCTATCCCATATGCACTCGCGCAAGGGGTGATTGAGCTACCGTACCTACTGGTGCAAACGGTGGTGTACTCGCTATTAACATACTGCATGATCCGGTTTGAGTGGACGCCCGGGAAATTCATGTGGTACCTGCTGTTCCAGTTCCTGACGCTGCTCTACTTCACGTGTTTCGGCATGATGGCGAGTGCCATCACGCCAGCTGAAGGGCTGGGAATGCTGTTCTCGGCCTTCATTTACTCCTTTTGGAACCTTCTTTGTGGCTTCCTGCTGCCGCAACCAGTGAGTGCCGTGCTCGTTGCTCTCTGTTGTCGGTTCTCAAGTGGCAATCGAGCGAGATCACCATGGCATTCCCATAAAAGCATGCGCATGACATTCTGCTTTTGATTAAACTCAGAGGTGGCCCAACACATGTGGTTATGACAGTATCACTCCCAGCATGACCCCCCTCCTTGTGTCCTTACTTCTCCTCTATATCTTCCTTTTATTTTCCCATACAACCTTTCCTTCCCTCATACGTTCAACAAAAAATCCCTGTGTACTGGAAATGGTTGTATTGGATCAACCCTGTTGCATGGTCCCTGTATGGCCTTGCTGCCTCCCAGATAAGCCCGTTCGATAGAATTCGGTGTGCCACATTTTCAAAAGCTTCTTTCAAGGTAAACTTGGCTCTACCCCTGTCCCATCCCACAGGCCTCATAGTTTCATCACTAGCTCAATGTGTGTGGGCGTTAAGTACTTGGTTTTAATGCACCTAAGTTGCATACAGTGAGTAATGGCTGTTCAACAAAGTCAATAGAAGTGTGCGGGCGTTTAGTACTTGGTTCTAGTCCACATGATCATATGCAGTGAGGAGCGTAGAAGAAATGCCCAGGGAAGCTCCCTGGGAGGCTCCCCAGTTTCCTGCTCCTGCCTGTTCTTTGTTCCGTCCCTAACTTCTCTACATGTTCCTCGTTTCATCTCTAGTTGTGTTACAGCTGGGAGATGTAACGACACTGGTGGTGAATCCACCAGGCATGCCAGCTCAAACGGTATCGCAGTTCATCCAGCTCTACTACGGCTTCTCCCATGACGGGCTGGGCTATGCCGCTACTGCCCTGCTCGGCTTCTCCTGCCTCTTCTATGTGTGCACCTACGCCCTCCGCAATCTCAACTTCCAAATGCGATAGGTTGGGGAGTGATGAGATGGCAAGAATGGATAATATTATGTTCAGAAAACATGGTGGTTGACCTCAGATTGTTTTCTCTTCTTTTTTTCTTTATGTTCTCTCTCTTCTCTGATTTATGTTGGAAACAATCGGTCCTAAAGCGCTTCTATCGTGTCAAAACACCAAGGCACAAGCGAAGCAAATCATATCGAGGCACCAGCGAGTCAACCCTCGGAGGTTGAAGTAACCGCTGGAGGTTACGCGAAGGTCAAAGGTCAGCAACCTTTGACTTGACAAATACAGCGCGACAGCAAGGACACACAACTGACTCGATACTGAGCAGTTGCCCGAGTCGTCACTGTATCGAACCGCAACAGCAACAGTAAAGTAGATACAACCGTATCTCTTCGTGTTCCTTGTACTCTTATATAATCTTGTACCTCTTTGCTTTAATCAACTTACTTTGCCCTCACATACCAGCGCAAGGTGGTTCAGAATCTTCTCTTAAAACGCTTCCGCTATTACATCACTTTACCTAGAGTTTCATCCTACCAAAGATTCTAAGGGGCTTTTCAGCCCAACATGGTATGAGAGCAGTTAGGGTAAAACTCTATTACTCCTTTGATTACACCAAGAGACATGTCTACCAGAAAGGAAAGAAGCTCCTCCAACGGCTCTCCTGGTACCACTCCTACTCCACCTCCTGCCTCTGGTCTACAGACAGAGGAAGGCACAACAACAAGACCAGCCGCTGGGTCTACTGAAACACCCACAAACCAAGGCGCGGGCTTCGATCAAAGCATGATGGAGAAATTCTCTCCTTCATGTCCTTCTACGAGCAGCACCAGCAAGGAGTACCTGCGACATCAAACAACAGCAACAACAACAACAACGTGACGCCCATGAGTCTCGATGGCTCATCCTACGCGCGCGGAAACCAGCAACAACAACCTACCTTCGCTCCGTACGAGCCCCAGCGCGGCTCCGTCAGCTTCATGCCACAACCACAACCTGCACCGGGACAAGAAAGAGCGTTGGACGCACTACAAGTTCAGTCGCAGTTCGCGCACATCTTAAAACTGCAAACGACAAAACCCTTCGACGGGAAGGACTTCTTTACCTGGTCATTCGAATTCGAGCTGATGATGGAAGGAGCGCAAATTCTTGGCTTCTTTGACGGGTCCCTGCCATACCCAACAAACGGCACACAGTATGAGAAGCAGCAGTACACCTATCAATCAATGATGGCGTACACGATACTACTGAGGAACATCACACCGACTCAACAGCAGAACATAAGGACTTACCGAGGATATGGCAACTCTGCGGAGCTCGCGTACAACCACTTGAAGAACTTGTATCAAGCAACAGACAGCGTAAACCAAAGTCGGTTAATGGCGCAGTTGACAACAATCGAGATGAAACTAGGCGAGAAAGGAATGGCGTATATCAGTCGCTGCCGCGAGCTGCGCGACAAGCTTCTTCGATGTGGAGGATCGATTTCAGAAGACGCCTTCGTCACGGTTGTCATCGCGGTCTTGGTCCTCACTGGCGCTCCACTCGCGCCATACTACGAGCACGCGGGAGAATCTCCGAAGCAGCACTCTACGCCGAAATCCATGCTGAACAGCAAAACATGGACCTGCAAGAAGAACGACACAAGAAAAAGGGATCAGTACCCGAATTCGCGTTCCACACTCAGCGACGCTACAACTACAACAACAACAACCGGCAGCAACAACCGAAGCCAGTACCTCCGTTCTGCCACATCTGCAAGACTTCAGGGCATCCTCCTACTCACTGCCCGAATCGACAACAGTCAACATCACCGCAACGCCAATTTCGTCCTTCAAGCAGTCAAGTTGCCTCAACACAAGCAAGTCCGATAACCTCGGTACATGTGTCAACAACATCGACAAGACAACCTGCAAAAGAAGAAAGAAACATCGTCAGCTGCATGGCAAGGCTAAACGACTCCTGCGCAACTGAGTCACCACCACATTACTCACCAGAAGAACAACTCGACAACAGCACGCCTCGCCGCGAGTCACTTCAACCGAACCCGACGTACGCCGCCATCGCTCAAAGCGAGCCGTCCGGAAAAGACACATGGTTCTTGGACAGTTGTTGCGGACAGCACATGTGCTCCTCGGGACGCTTCGTTCAGCGCGAGCACCGACTTCAACGAGAGGTCGTCATCACAGTCGCCAACAACCAAAACCTGCGCACACGACGACAAGGAATTGTGCAACTTCAGTCACGAGAGACAAATGTCATACTACAAATGTCAAAGGTACTAATCGCGGAGGGACTCGGCTACAACTTACTAAGTGTCAGTCAGTTGATGGCGAAAGGCATACACCTGGAAGCCGACAGTACCACCCAGGAGTTCAAGTTGTACCATGGGAAGGGCGGCCTCTACATCGGAAAGGCCTGAAGAACAATGTCTTCGTCCTCGACTTCGTCCCAGACCTGGGCACCGCAGACAGCGACGCCATCGTGAACTTCGCCGACTGGACACACCCTCCAGATCTTGATCCAGACTTCAGTCCGGAAGGCTTTTGGTATTCACATACCATTCCTCAAGCAGAACGAACACGCGCGCTAGTAACAATTCAACATTCGGCAGCAGCAGAGACAACATTGGCAGCAGCAGAGACAACATCGGCAGCAGCAGAGACAACATCGGCAGCAGCAGAAACAACATCGGCAGCAGCAGAAACAACATCGGCAGCAGCAGAAACAACATCGACAGCAGCAGGAACAACAAGAGCAGCAGCAACAACGACACCAGTCCTCGTCGATGAAACACCGCCAACACCAGCACAACAGCTCCACCCAGCACCACAAGAAGTTCATCGTAGCGCCAACTTCATCGCCAGCTTTTACTCCAACTCCGATGTGTACCGACGATCACCCGGGCATCGCGCCGACGAAAGTACCTGGCACGCAAGAATGGGACACGCAAGCAACACTGTCTTAAACAACACCATAAGAGCAGGAGTCCTTGACAAGGACTCGTTACTACTACTCGACGGAAGAGAACTTCAACGAGCACGAGGATCATGCCTCACCTGCCCCGAAGCCGACTTACCACATCGGCCGTTCGCTCCTCGTCACAACCCGAGCGCACCCGCGTACGCACCACTCGAAAAGGTGTACAGCGACATCCTGTACAATCAGGAGCCAGGACAAGTAATCAACAACTACACAATCACCTTCATCGACGCCGCCACTCGCTACGTCTGGCACCTAAACCTACCCAGCCGCGACATGGCCCTCGCAGCGTTCACTGCCTGGCTACCAGTAGCAGAGAGAGAGTCGGGCGTAAAGCTGAAAAGCTACCAGTCAGACGGAGGAGGAGAATACACCTCTCAACGCTTCAAGCAGTACCTGGCGGAAAGAGGCATCAAGCAGCTCCTCTCCCTTCCCTATGCCCATCAACAGCAAGGCGTGTTGAACAACGAATGAATGAACTAACAGTGAAATGAGTACAAGTAGGAAACCCTAGAATTGTGTACCCCCTATAGGCTAACCCACTGAAGCCTAAACAACTACAACATATATATATAATGTTTGACACACCCCCAAAGGCGAAGTGGGGGAGAACTAGGGGTCCCAAGACCAATCAAGTAAAGCAAAGCAAAGCAAGCTCAGGGTGGATCACAAAGTCACCACACATTCCGAGCACAAGTTCAAGGCCACAAGGCCAGTTCAAATGCAGCAGTACACACATATATATATATAGAACTAGACAAGCAAGAGCAGCAATATATATATGCAGCAGTACAAAGAAGGTCAGGAGGAGAGCAAGTGAGGCAAGACAGACACAAGACCCAGCTGGGTACAGAAGCGCTGATGATCACAAGGCGGAAGTGCCTTGGTGAAGACATCAGCAGTGTTGGCCTCAGAGGCCACGTACGCAAGTCGCAACTGACCACGCTGCTGTAGCTCACGAGCAAGGAAGTAGCGAAGAGCAATGTGCTTTGTTCTGTGCTCCAGTCTCTGCTCTCGACACAAGGCCAGCATGGCCTTGTTGTCTACGTACAGAACTGGAGGAGAACGAGGCGGCTCTCCAAGTTCGGTCAGCAGGTAGGTGAGCCAGCGAAGCTCCTGAGCAGCCATGGCCCCTGCGTAGATCTCAGCCTCACAACTGGAGCCAAGAACAGAAGACGAGCGAGTAGCCCGCCACGAAACAGAGCCGGAACCAAGGCTGAAGGTGTAACCCTGTGACGACCGCTGCGTAGCCTGGTCGTCAGCCCAAGAAGCGGCAGCGTGCCCAGTGAGGACCACTGGACTCCGCCCTCCAAGCACTAGCCCCATGCCCGACGTACTGCACAAGTAGCGCAACACCCTCTTCGCTGCAGCCATGTGCTCTGGCCGGTGTCTCCCAGGAGCAACATAGCGTGCAAGAATGCTAAGAGGGTATGCAAGGTCAGGTCGTGTGCAGGTCATCAGGTACATGAGGCAGCCGACAAGCTCTGGATACGGGCCACTCGACTCTACGGATTCATCCGAAGGCAGAGCTGAGAGTGAGTGGCGAGTAGGCAGAGGAGTGGCCTGAGGCGAGGAGTACGTGAAGCCGAAGCGCTGAAGGACCTGCTGCACCATGTGTGACTGAGTCAGGGTAATGGTGCGGCGTGCTCTGTCCCGGGTGATCTGCAAGCCAAGATAGCTGCGCATTTCACCTAGGTCAGTGCACGTGTGTCTCTTCTGCAGCTCGGACTTCACGTAGGCGAGTCCAGCAGTGTCAGCTGTGGCAAAGACCAAGTCGTCGACGTACACGAGGATGTAGAACGGCGGCAGAGAGGTGTCGGTGCGCAGAAACAACAACGGGTCAGCAGTAGAAGGAGCAAACCCAAGAGCCGCAAGCGTAGTCCTCAGTGTGTCGTGCCACTCACGTGGCGCCTGGCGGAGGCCGTAGACTGGACGCCGGAGACTCCATAGGGTACCAGGAGGGAAAGACCTAGTGAAGCCAGGTGGGCGGCGCAGCCAGATCTCCTCGTGCAGGCTGCCCTGCA